TCTTGATGGAGCATATGTGTGGGCTGGACCTGTATTTTACAGGAAAGGAGTGAGCAGAGGGTGGAGTTGTCGATTCTTGTTCTGTTTTCTGTGACTATCTGCCTCACCCTCGCAGACTTTGAGTTGCGCGCGCTACTAAAGAGACGTGTTACCATGGAAACCAAACAATGGCTTAGCTGTATTAAAGTCCGAGTGGAAACAGTCCTGAGTAAATCTGATTTGTCAGAAATCGGGAGAAATATGACCCCAGGAGGAAACCGGGAGAGGGCAATGAAATCGGGAGTCTCCCGCGAAAATCGGGAGGGTTGACAAGTATGCTTGTTAGACGCTTTTATCCAAAGCGACTTACATACTCAATACTGTGGGCAATCCCCACAGGAGCAATTTGGGGTGAAGTGTCTCAGGGACACAACGACATGCTGACTGCAGTGGGGTTTGAACCTGTGACCCCCTGATCCAAACACCAACGCACAACCCACTGCGCCACACGTGTCAAAATCGATCAGATGCTCATGTACGTGCATGCTGGTCAAATTAAATCGAAACTATCCTGTCTCTGTGGGGGCTGCCTTTTGAAACATGAAAGTAAGAAGAGCAACTCCTGATTGTATTTAATTAGATTTTAAACCTGCTAACAACAATACAGGATTTACTGACTTGACTGAAAATAAACTGTGTGTGTGTGTGTGTGTGTGTGTGTGTGTGTGTGTGTGTGTGTGTGTGTGTGTGTGTGTGTGTGTGTGGTGAAACAGGGGGCTCTCCTGCCCATGCCGTTCCTCAGTACAAACACTGTGTGGATGATAGTATTTAAATACACACTCTCTTAGCCTGCCCCCTACTGTTGCCCAGACCTACTTTCAAACACACACACATACACTCACACACACTCTGGGGAAAATACACGCTTTAAACACTTTGTAGATTATCAGAACTGGACTAAACATGAGCTGTGAGCTAAATGAGTGTTGGGGGATTTTTCTCAACCCACTTCCCATCAGTTAAAACTCAATTAAGCACTTTGAGATAGACTTTGGCCAGAGGACTTTGTGGATCATACTGCCTCTTGTGGTGAAGAGCGGTGTTGCTTCTCCTCTGCTCTTTGCTCTCATTAGCATAATGAACAGATCAGAAACTAATGTAATAATGAACTTAGCTGCTAGTCTTCTAACGGAGAAATTACCATCATGCTTAGCTCTGGCTGCAAACCATGTTAGGATTGTGTCATTGAGTTTGCATCATATGCGCCACCTGGGAATGCTTTGCAACTCTGGAAAGGATTTCTGAAATGCATACGCCTCTTACAAAGACTTTGGTTCATTTTTTTTTTATACATACCAAAAGGAATTACGTTATAGCACTGCTCTTCCTTCTATATAATACTTTAACACAGTTTAAAATGGTGAAATGTAACGATAACAGGATTTTTCTCTTGGATTAATACAGAAAGCTCATTTGGTTTCTGTACTTGATCAAATCTCGAATTATTCCCAGTGGATTACTGACATTTTTTAACAATAACAACACTCGTGTGCACAAACCTTCCCTACACACCCCTCAATATTTAGCTGTTGTAGTTCTCAAAGTGTCCAGTTGGTGTCCTCCTCTCCCCATTTCTCCTCCACATCCTGAGTGACAGAAGGAAGTGATTCTCTCTGCTGTGACACTTGGGAGAAGGACTCCACACATCATACAAACGGTCCCGTGTTGCCTAATGTTAAAAACAATGAGAACATGTATTCATCACAGTTTAAGTCAAACAAAACAAGCTTCCCTTTGACATATTTCAACCAGGCTTGTGTGGCACATATTTAAGAATTGCTAAACACTTCTTCTTGTTGTTTTGACTTTAATGCTTTAATAACCATCCTTCCTTCTTTCTGTGTGTTTCTCTCCAGGAGCTGATGAGAGTTAAGTGCCGTTAAGTCGAGTGCAGTCCGCCCTGCAGCCTCTCCTCCCTGCCCTTCCACATCTTTCCCCCCCCAACCGAGCTGCTGTTTTGTGCCTCCATCTTTTGGACCTGAAACACACTAGGTCCTGAAGTCACACACACACACACACACACATACACAAAGTTACACACCTCACCGCCAGCCCCACTAACCAGGATGATCACCTCGGAGCTCCCCGTCCTACAGTAAGTGAAACAAACAAAACGCACTCTTCTAAAGCGGTTCTCTACGTAATTTTGTACTGTAGATAAAGTTAATATTTGAAAGTAGACGTTTGTGTGACTTCATTTGTGTCTTCATAAACAAACACGATGTTGTCGAGTGTGTTTCTTCTTCATAGAACTTCCTGAATATTTGCCCAGTGGACGAATGAAAGCTTTCAAATGCAAAGGAATCTTATGTGTTTTCCCTCTCTCTCTCTCTCTCTCAGGGACTCGTCCAATGAGTCTGGGGCAACAGACGCAGTGGGCTTAAGTATGAGCATCAGTGAGATTGAAGAACCAGAGGTCAAAGGCAAGAAGAAGAGAGGGAGGCCTGGAAAAGCAGCCCAGGTATGAGCCCTCTGTCAGCAGAGTGTAAAGAGTGAGAAAAGCCTTGTTAACAATCAGACTTTAGGTGTGACCATCTCTGTTTGTGTGTCTATTTGATTGTGTGAGCGTCTGTTGAACCATGGAAGAAACAAGCTGTCTTAACCCCCAGTTACAGTATCTGTTTCTCAAGTAAATAAAAGTGTTTTTTCTTACCTGTGTTTATTGACGCCTCTGCCCCCACAGTCAACCAATAAGAAGCCTCGTAAGGCGCCGGCGGAAAAGTCTGTGAGCGTAGCACGAGGGCGAGGAAAAGCCAACGGTGTGGTTCAACATAATGGAGACGGAGGAGACCCCGTCACGCTGTTTGAAGTGGTCAGAATGGGGAAGAGCGCCATGCAGGTGGGTGGGATACAAGCTTCTGAAACACATAGTCAAAAGCCAAAGTCAACTTTATTGTCAATCTTCAAGTTTGTGTGCAGACAGAGAGATCGAAATACCGTTTCCCACAATCCCGAATATAAAAATTTTTTTATAGAAAAATATGTGTGCAAATATGTATATATATATATATACACAGAAGAAGACACATTTTTGCATGTGCACATATTAAGAAACAGGCAAACCTGTAGACACACTTGGAGAAATCATTGAACCTAACAGACATACCCAAAGCTGAGTTGAACAGGAGAGATTGGGTA